GTTTGACTCGATGCCAGCCCTGAGTAGGAGAATGCGTAGTGAATGTTGCCCTATGGACGGACAACTTCTGAGATACTTCGCCGACCTAAACGGGGTTAGATCGCCGAAACAACAGCCCTTGGTCGGGTGAAACCCGAGTCATTCCGGTACGTAGAACCGGCTGTCGTGGGAATGTATAAATTGTCTAAACATTAAATTAAAAAAATACTTGGTATTTCTATATACTGAAAAAAATTGCCCTATTTCACTTCTCTACATAAGACTTAGTTCGAAATGCCGCTCATTGCTCGACCACTTTCATACATTTCAATTTTAATAGCTCAACCCGCCACCGACGGGCATACCTGCCGTCCGTATCAACATATGAAATTGCTGTTCATGGAGAGAGAGAGAACCAACGGCAACGTCACCGACATGCGGTGGTAATTTTTCTTTAACACGGGAGTCCCCCGCTTCACTGAGTGTATGAAATTTCTGCCTGCTAAATTAGGTGTAATTTATTTCAATAAAATTCTACATACTTAAATTATCCCAAAAACAGGAGATTAAATTTTTTTTTTACCATCTTAAAATATTTCCAAAGTAAAACTTTCTTAAACCTTCCTCTTGTGATACTTTTTCAATTAACTTATCCCCTGAATTTAATTTGAGATTTTATATAGGAGGCATGCAAGAGGGACAAGTAGTTTAAAAACGAAGCCTTTTCAAAACATTTCGATCGATACCCATATTGTAGTAATACCTTGGAATTATTCAATTGATGGCATTTTTAAACATTTTGCAACCTTTTTGACCCTCTTTCGTTTGCCACCGATATTGTGATATATACATATGTATTTAAATTTACTTATTCCCATAATTCACGTTGAATTTGAGTTTTCAGCAGTTGGAAATCCTGCTATATCTAGAAATAAAGTCCTTTCAAGACTCTTTCTATTAATTGTAATAACTTGTTTAACTTATAATATAATTGTATTTAAATTTATTTTTAAAACAGGTGGCAACACTCTTCAAACGCCTCAGGAAAGTCTACATATTCAAGATGTCTAAACACTCTAGCGTTTGACTTTTTAACCCGTGTATAATTTAATTAAATTTGACTTTTCAAACATGTGGCAACGCTCTTCAAAATATTTTCAAACTACAACCTTATTTAACTTCTTTCGTCTGTCACTCATATTGTGATACATGTTCCAATTCCTTTAATGCAGGTAAAATTTGATTTTGTAAATAGGTGGCAACTCTGAGACATGTAGTTTAGAAATGCATCTTTTTCGCTTCTATTTCGTTTCTTACCCATATTGTAATTATTCATTTAAACTAATTGAATTTAATTTTTAAATAGGTGGTAACCCTGCAGAAAATAATAATCAATAATATTCTAAATTAAACTAAAGTTTTTTTTTAACAATGGGACGTATGAATAAAAACAAGCGAATGCTTTTTCTTAACTGTCGGATTTACCATATCGACAGTGGTGTCGACTGCGTTCCGATTACGAATACAGCCTTTTCAGCCGAGTACCTTTCAAATGTTTGGAATTAATTAAATTAATTGAATAAGCAAATGTTTACAAACTTCTTTCATTAGCAAATCGCAACAAGAATGTTCATTTTTAAATTTAACGAACCTCTCTATTCAAATTATTGTTGACAAAAATGCAACCGTGTGCCAAAATCCTGCTTGCAAATTCTTCCGCTCCAAATGAAATGTCAAAATTGTGCTCTCTCCTTGCAAGTTTGTCTAGTTTTTGGCCATAAGAACACTATTTGGTAACAATTGGTACCAACTTGTACAAGTTTTTTGCATAGCGAACACTCTTATTATGGGTCAGAAACTTCCAAATAGCCACTTTAGCAGCGCATGTACACGACCGAAGACCTATTCTGATCTAAATGAATCAATTGAAACTTTTTTAGCCCCATTTGACATTAGTTGTAATCCCATACCAGTCCGGACTAGTCAGAATTAGTCAGAATTTACAGAAAATCGATCCCGTACTCAGTCCTCTGAGTAGTGAGAGGACAAAAAAGAGCGTAAATAAGGTCCTCTCTCTGTCAGAAATTACCAGTTTTAGCCCGAAGATTTTTTCCTGGTAAATGTGTCAAACGATCAGCTGTAGTGTGTTTGACAACAAAATTGTAAACAAAGGAAAAGTGCACTCTGCTAATGCATGTTGAAAAGTATTCAATTAATTGTTCCCACCAAACAATTTGTGTTGCCGGCAATAAGAAAACGTGTCGCCCTCGGAAACAAATTTATTGCCGGTAATATTGCCTTCGAATCGATTTCCTATTACCGGTCGCTCTAAAACGTCCGCCGAAGGCAACTCGCCTGGGCGAGTCGTTTTCTTATTACCTGAATGAGTCCTTTTCTTATCGCTTCAGGCGATATTTGGAATAATTTTATTCTTTTTAAGACTTCATTTATTTTTTTGTATACCAAATCGCAACTTACAATGGGAATTAATTCATTTTCTCGCTGTAAGGCTTCCTATTTCTGCAATCTTGTCCTTGGGCATAATTTAGATGCTTTGGCCAATACTATTGACGCCATATTCAGAAGTTTCGGAATTTTTGAGAACATTTTTATTCAAAATTGTCATAAACGAAGTGATGTTGCCGACTTGTCACCACAGCAATAAATCGGTGAGTCGCCAATTTGTTGCCATTGACGATCGTTGCCTATTTCTCATGTTTTGCATGGTGGGTTGATTCTAATAAATTCCAAAGTATTTTTGGTTATTTACATGTGTGAGTAAAGCGTGTTTACATACAAAATAAGCAAATATTTACATATAAAATTTGGAGGTTATGTTGAACTTGTAAGAAATTACCATTTTTTACTAGAAAGCGATCCCGTACTTTTCAGCGTACTCTCCCGCTCTGAGCGAATATTTATTTTTTGACAATTTTACTAGTTTTAGTCCGAGGAATACGGGATTGGACCTATTATGTTTTCACTTCTTTGACGACATAGTGAAAGTAAGTTTATTATACTCAAATTTAATGGGCTATAAAACTACGTAAAAATCTGATTACAAAGTCGAAAACTTGGATGCATTTTTGCTGAGCTTTTTAGTTTTTGCCCAAAGTTTGAAGTATATATTTACATAGTTTTTGTTAGATAGTGAGCTATACTTTTATAAAAAAAAAATATTAAAATACAAAATTTGATCCGACTTAAATTGAATCTAACATAAAGTGGTGCTCGGACTAGAGATCGAACTTTTTGTTGTTGTTGTCGTAGTTGTAAGTTTCTAGTCACCATTTTCCATAGAGGGGTCAACAACGATTCTTTTGCGTCCAGTTCAAGCAGCTTACGACTTCCAAAGTTTACACTAAGGACCCGTTACTCAATATCTGGTTAACACTAACTATGCAACATCGTTATCCCGTTTAGGTCGGCGAAATCCATCAAACGCTGTTCGATATTGGGGCTACATCTGCTCCGTACCCTTCTGCTCAGGGCTGGCATCGAGTCAAACCCTGGGCCAGAAACTTACACCTGCTGCGTTTGCCAGAGACGACTTCACTACAACTCCACCTAAGTCAAATGTAATACTTGCAACGGGTGGAGTCACCTAGGAGTCTTATCACGCTTAAGGACTCATCGATAGTGGACCACATCATATGCGGTCCCTTCGTTCTCAAACAGAGCTGCCTCCACCACACACCCAAGTCCGCCTGAGCAGCTCAACACAAACACAACAGCACCACAACACAATAGACCACACCACAACCACAACAGACCACACTACAGACACAACCGCACTACCACCCACGCGCCGCCGCTAACAACTCCTGGTTCCTCCAACGATCTGTACATCACAACACACTTCACTCACACCGCGCATGACAATAACTCTCCCTAGGCACACGAAGCTCCTACACTTCAACTGTAACGGGCTACAGAGCAAATTCGAAGAGATAACCGTCTTCATGGACCGGCATGCAATATTGATAGCTGCGGTCGAAGAGAAGAAGTTGCACAGCAATTCAGCATAGTTAAATATTTAGGAAAAGTCGTCTAACTTCGACAATTTTTAAGCGTTTGCAATAAATGAGCTGTCAGTTTATTTAAAACTATATCTAAATTTAGATAGCAGATATTTCGAAATTGTGGAATTCATCGATGGTCAAAATTTACAAAATTAAGAGGAATATGGGTTTTTTTATTTTACCCGATCAAAAATCCCAACAAGCCAAGCCGACAATAGACTGTTATATACCATTTTGAAGGCACATATATCTTCTTCTTAGATCATATTCGATCTTTGAAATCGAATCAAAAATAGTCATTCAAAAATTCATAAATCTACAATATCGAATTTTCTGACCTAAATCGACAGATCGCGACCTCTAAATGACCTTTAAAAAATCTTCATATTTCTCATAAAAACGAATAAAATTAGGGTGTTGCCGTTGATAATTTTCAGAAAGTCGCGAAAAAGGGGTCATTGACGAAAAAAAGGGTCACATAGCATATTATTTTTGCTTTTCTTTACTAGCAAAAGAATAACAGGCCGATTCTGAACAGAAACCCTCTGGGAGTTTTCTCTCTTTTCCCTTTCCTTCTATCATGAATAAAAATTTCCTGCGGATTTTTATATTAAATGGCGTTGAGCTCTCAAAAAAGTGTCAAACAGCTTTTTCGAAGTTCGAATTTCCTTCTATTGGAGGATTTCTTTCTAGGGAGAAACCAATTCCCGGAGAAATAGCTCCCCGGGAGTATTAAGAATTGGGCATTTTTTAGTACTTTTGGGAGGAAATATTTTTTAGCAGCATGGTTCTGTTAATATTTCCTAAAAAAATCTCTGAAAAGGGAGTCGGGTCAAAGGTTATTGGCGCTTAAAAAGGGTCAAATTGCCCCTTTAGTCGCACAACGGCAACACTGGGGTAGGGTCTTGAAATTTCGTCGAATTTTACTAAACATGAATGGGCTATAAAACTGGCGGCGCTGGTCCGAGCAAGATATAAATTAGAAAAAGGGTTTTCTAACAGCAGTCGCTCCTCGGCAGGCAATGGCAAACCTCCTAGTATACTTCTGCCATGAAAAAGCTTCTTATAATATCCATTAGCCGTTCGGAGGCGGCGTAAAACTGTAGGTCCCTCCGCTTTGTGAAACAATATCAGGACAAGACGCTCAGCACAAATCGGAGGAGAAGCTCGGCCAAACACTTACCAAAAGTGTACGCGCCAATATTAGGTATTACTATTATTATTATTATAAAACCGTATGCGGTATATCCAAACTGATTGAACTTTGTATATATTTTTTTTTATTTTTGTACAAAGTTTGAAATTTGGACTTATGTATGTGGTATTTGTTATAGAATGAACTATATTTTTAATAAAAAATAATAGCTAAAATTGAGTAATAAAAAAATAAATAGTCAAAATGTAGTGTATATGAATCTGTATTAAATATTTTCTGGAGTAAATAGTCAATAGTTGATCGTTTTCTTGTATGTACTCATAGTATATTGTATTCTTTCAATATTCAATATTTATAGCTAACAATTCACGCTAATTTAAATTTTAATAAATATGTATAAATGTAAGTATGTATGTATATTAAATAAAACTAAAACTATATTTTTGAAGAGACAACAAATACTTTTATGTTTAAAGTAGCACAATATTTCATGCCATCTACCGCTTGTCGGTTGCCTAATTTAAATCTGTGTGTGAATGAATTTATTTGAATTACATGTGTGTTTGTAAATACTTTCTTGTTCGTCTCCCCAACCCTGAAATGGTGATATCTATTACCTTTTTACTAAACTTATGTCAATACATAAATATCAACTAACCAACAAATTTCTTTATTTGTGCATTTATGTACGTATGTATGTATGAATGTATGAATGTATTTAGCTGCGCTCTGTAGGTATTATTAAGTAGCATCGGCCGGCCAGAAATTTGTATGCAGTTTTGTAGATAGGCTGTCCGCCTAACCTAGGTGCTTAGTCCTCAAAGAAGCGAGCATTTCTTTTGCGTCCCATGTTGCAGATTTTAAAATGACAAGGAGACATATCTGAGAAGGAAAGCAAAAATTTAACGAAATTAATTTTGTAAGCTTCAAATTTTCATAGATTTAGATTTCGCACAGTATTTAAATTTGTCGGTACACTTCTTACATTGTTTGTGTACTGCACAAGGCGCGTGAAGCATGCAAGAAATGTACGGATGAGTTCCCAGGATGAATAATATGGTAATTAGCATGTAATCGGAATGATCCAGACGCCACGAGATAATGCAATACAACAGTACAATTGTTAATAATTATGTCCATACATGCATAATTGGAGGGTAAAGATGTACTACTTACATTGTATGTTCTTCTTAATGCCATGATCTTTAAATGCAGCCGGCGCTGAATGAGGTTTCTTCTTCAGTGGCATAGTGGGTGGCCCAAAGGACTGACTATCAGCGCGTGCATCATCTATGCCATCAACAGCATTTGCGGCTAATTGTCGTAGACGTTCAATAAAGCGCGTATTTGCCGCCTCATAGCTGTCATCAGCAGCCCCAGAATCATCGCCAACATCTTCGCCATAATCCGGAATTAGCAAAAGATCACGCAAGCCTGGCCATTTGCTTAGGTAGTTGGGCTGTTGGCGTTGGTATTTTTTCTAAAATCACAAAAAATAAAAAAAATTAAGAAACAAAGGGACATCAGGAGGTACAATAGTGGCATTCATCTATGCAGGTAAATGTCTCGTAACCACGAAAACCTCGTAAACTTACTCAATTTTACCCATAACGAATACCCATAAAAATATTTTTTTTATAAAATTTGTTATAAAGCAAAATCGTTGGTCTCAGTAGTGTAAAATGTTAAGAAAATTCGATCGGGTTTATGCGGAAGCAAGACGGTGCCTGCACCATAACGGGAATGGTAACAGTAGAACTTCTCCTGGACACAAATTTCCCAGCAAGTTCGCAGAAAGGGTAAGGCTTCAAACACAAATCCAGAGTCTAGAAAGAATAAATAGTAACTACGTACTTTCACCATTGACAGTCGGTTACTGTCTAAAATAATCATGATTATCTAAAGGACAAGTCCACGGAGACCGCGCTACATAGCCGGCTCAGCTTTATTTAAAAGTTACAAGAACTATTGTCTTGCAGCATTTCTAGGCATTGAGGGAGCTTTTAACAATATAAATTCAGAGGCCTTGAGAGGCCTAGCGGTGAACTATTCTCAACTGGAGTACGTAAGGCAGGATGATCACCGCAAGTGTCGGTGGGAACTCGGCTTCAAGACATGTGACAAGGGTCACACCGCAATGTGGCGTGCTCTCGTCACTTCTTTAGAACTTAACCGTGTGCTCTCTTTGTGCGAGACGGAATGGGGAAGCGCCAAGGTTGTCGTTGATGTGGATGATGTACCTATCGCGGACAGGGACAAGATCCGCAAACTCTGTGCGACTTTCTGCAGAGAGAGGTGTGTAAAGATAGTCCACGCGTTGTGGCCGCTCCGTCATTTTGGAGAAAGTGGAACTTGTTCTATTTACCAGAAGAAACAAGACTGTACAAGCAAACCGAAATTCTGAGGCGCCTACAGAATGGTGGCCTGCCTTGGTTAAGGCTTCTAATCTTAATCGACTCAGCAAAGAACAGAGTATAAGTATGATCTGATTTAGCGGAGCAATCCGGACAGCGCCGAATGACTTTTTAGATCTTCTAAAGGCAGAGACCGAGTGAGGCAGTAGACGGCATCTCTTAAATCAAAAATTTGTGCTGGACTGTCGCCGATTACTGCCATATAGGAAAGTACGCAGAATGCTCGGAGTGCCTTAGATGCTGTATAAATTTCAAAAACTATGGGCCTCCGCACAGTGGACTGCTCAGTCCGCCCAAAACTGGTTTTGTGTGGATAAGAGGGGGAAGAGAGTTCGAGTTTACCTCGGTCATTTCAGTCCGCGATTGACACGCACACATAGACAACATGTTTTCTATTTCGTTTTGTTTGCATGTGCCACATGCACTAAGTGGGAGAGACATTTCTTCGTCTTCTCCCTATTTGTGCGACTTGTCAAGCAGATTGCCTTTCTGGAGTCTCCGTTCTTTAGTGACCTTGACGATTTGGGAGATATAAACCTTAGACACCTAATTTGTTTCGTCAGCGATTCCCTGACGATTTGGCTTTACTGACTTTGTAATCTAAATAGGCCTCCTCTGCGATAGTCATAATAGAGTGGAACCATTCTGAACGCAATAAGTACTGGGAAGCGGTATGCGGCCATTAACAGGAAGGATATTATTCCATTATATATAAATTAAATCAAGCTATCTACTTTCTTGGTATCTAACTGGTAAAAAGATTACCGGGCATTTTAAGATTCATTAAGAACCCCGGAAGGTATCTTGGGCGTTCTCGTTTAGAGACTCTTTTAAGGATTCAAAAGATCTTTCCGGTTGCAGTACAGCCGTGCAACGTTTGGACCACCACTGTTTGATGTGTATGTACCTTTGACACTATGTGTCATTCCGATTATAAAAATATAAACTCATATCAAAACCAAGTGAAGACTCACCAGTTCATTGTAGAGTGTATCATCATTAACATTGTTCAGCAATTCGTTCAGCAATAATTGTTGCATCTCAATCTGTTGACGTGTGCCATGGCGTGGCATGCCACCCGTCAGCGTATTGACGCTACCAACAACGGGCAAGGCGCATGCGTCGTGCGCCAACCACATAATAGACACAAATAATGCGAACCATATCTGATGATAGTTGATTGCTGTCAGTGCAGCTGAGGTGCGTTGATGTGTCATTTTGCTGTGGGCAAGAATTGTTAAGCGCGACAGTGTAAATATGCTGCAAACGAAAATAAAAGAAAAAACAAAAATAAGTACATTAGTATACGCAGGTAATTGAAGTACATACAAGAAAACAAACAAAATGGATGAGTTTTCAATGAAAGCATTGAATTTCAATAACAGAGAAACAACGATGACGTATTAGCAGGTTTGCGCGCCCTTAAATATACTTTGTTTTTGTTTTTTTTTTCATTTTTTCCATAGCTAAATTCCAACGCCTCGCGGCCGAAATTAGAATTTTATTCACTTAACAGTTCTTGAAAGTTATTGCTCAGTGACGCCTACGCTTTGTTGCTTAACCCATTTAATATCTCACCAAGGGTTTCCAATTTCATACAACAACCGTTAAACTTGTAAGTTGAAACCTTAAGTTCAACAAGTGTGAAAATTTCAGCACTTGACGTCTTTCACGTTGCATAAAATTTACGTACGTACATATGTATGCATGAGTATGTAGGTATGTGCACATTACCGCACGTGGCCTATGACTTAAGCCTTTCACTGCATCGTCAGTTAAAAGTTGTTAAAGTTTTACAGTAAACGTAACGGGGTTTGAGAATCTATAAAAGTAATATTGCGCCTCTAAGATAAATGTGTGTATGAAGAGGGAGTAACAACACAGAAATACTCTAAAGGCGCCGCGTATTTGCTAGTTTTATATATATATATTTTTTTTTTGCTTTTAATTACCGTATTATGCCACCTTAAGCTCGCATTAAATACAAATTAGTCTATTTTTCACACACGCCCATTTCTTGATCGCATCTAATACGCGGTTGTCTTCTCTCTTGTGCACTGTTAAGCATTTTATGAAGTGGTTCAATTTCTTTGCTCTAAAGTATATAAATATTACAAAGAAATGACAAATCCAAGGCGAATTAATATAAGGGTATAGCAGGAGTACAAAAACAAAAATTTACATGTATTTTGTTTTTGCTTTGGCGGCATAAACTGTCAAAATCTGTAAGAGTGTGTGTAGAAATTCAAACAAAATTTTTCAATTTAATATCAGAAGCCGTGCGGCGAAACACATACACAAAATCAGCTGAGCTAGTAACACCACCTTATATAAATTCGCCTTGGACAAATCCTTTAAATTTTAAAATTAAAAGCTTTGTTATTGAGATCAAATATAAATATCCACATGTATAGTGGTGGAAAAAGATCAAGGTCACGACATTTTATCAAGTATTGGCTATTTTTCTTTTCTTTATTTAATGTTTATTTTTTAACCATATATACCCAATTTTCAAACTTTGTGCAAAAACTATAGCCCTTATTATGGGCCGTTTGCAGCCCGTGATTATTATCTTTCAAAACATCTCTTAAAATTCTTTGGGGGTCCGGTATACGGATGCAAAGGTTACATGCATTATTATTTCAATGAACTGTTTTGAAAATATTTATTTAAACTTAAATGTGTGGTGATATTTTTCGTTGCACGTGTGTACATTAGGTTGGTCCAAAAAAAAAAGTAAAGTCGGAATTTTTATATTCTCTATACTGAAAAAATGTACCCCTGTCTTTTTTTTTAATCAAAAAATATTTAGATGTTGCTTAAAGCGCCCAAAATTTTCCATGTGTTTTAAGTATGTGTGAAAAACATTTTTTCGTAGAAATTCTGTTGCTTTTCAGGAGATTTCCATTGATAATACCTAATTGTATATTTAATCATTTTTTAACATTATCTATTTTTATAGGTCCCCTGGTAACCAAAAAATTGCAGTGGGGGATCCAAAAAAATCGTTAGTATTAAACAATTTTAAAATAAAAAATTGGAATTTTTATTAGAAGTCTCCTGAAGAGAATCAAAGTTTTCCGATCGGAAAATATTGATTTTCAAGAATTATATACGATTTCTAAGAAAAATGTTTTTTCCCATATAAAATACATGAAAAACATTGAGCGATTTGAGCAACCTGTAAATATATTTTGGTTTCAAAAAAAAAAACACGGAGGTATATTTTCTTTCATATAGAAGAGTCCTAGGTGGTGAGAGCATTAAATTTATGACACTATTTTTTCACATGCATTTTTGGACCACATTAGACCGGTTAGCTCCTCAAGCGAAATAAAAAAGTTTGGAATTTTCCGCTTTCGCATTAGAAAGGTAAAGGTTTATAACTAACGTCTAGGCACCGAGCTTATTTATCTGATTAAAAACAAATCATCGATCCTCGCGGCAGACCTGAGTGGGCATTACTTAATAAAAACCCATGCAGTACGACTTAAAACTATTTCGGTGATTCCAGCACTTTTTCACAGGGTCTTGCTGCGAATGATCGCTTGATGACTCGTAGTAGAGCTTAGAGCTTCACCAGAGGACAGCTCTCCAGGCGCCGACTTACCGCTCGTCATGTAGCCACCTCACTACTTTCAGTTGAAAGAAGAACTAAACCATGCTCATCACTGCTGTTTTGTTTTAATAAATTTTTCCCACTTTTTCGAAAAATCTAAACTAGCATATGACGTAACATGCTCAAAAATATATACTACCATTGGCGAATGTCACTAATAAAAACTCACTTCACCAAACTGGTTTTAACGATCAGTGTCTGAATCGCAGCATTTGTGATCAAATGATTAGTCGTTTCGAATCAAATCTAATAAAATGGCAGCTGTTTTCTCCTCAACATAAATTTATAAAGACGAAGCACACTCGCTGTCGAATGCCGTGATTTCAAAATCTAATTTCGTTACGAGTTAAATTCGATATCGACTGCCGCGATTCGCGCCCAGAACTTTGAAATTTCGATCCTTCTTCTTTCGTGATTTTTTCTCAAAAGTCCGTACCGTTACACTTACATTTTGATGTAATGCAACAGGATCCGTTTATTCCTTATTTACACTTTTGTCCACAACAGTTGCACTTATATGTACATCTTGTTCCCAGTATGAGGCTAAACTGTTTGCACCACCAGCAATGAAAGCGAAATAAATCACCAGTATGTCTGGCTGAACACTTTATAGTGGTGAACGTAATGATGACATCTCTATCAACAACAGCATTATCAACTAAAGCAACAGGTACTATCACAAATAATTTGTAATCAAATCGAATACAAAATCACAATCGAAACATCTCCTACAAATACATTTGTAGAGAATGTATGTAGCTAGATGTATGTATGTATGTATGTATGTATGAATGTAACTACATATAATAACATTAAGTTTAGCAGGTCATAAGTAAATTGATAGGCCGTAGATTTGCACACCTTTGCACGTATTTGTACTATATGTAGTTATGTATATGCACCTCACACCCACATAAATAACTTCAAATTTATGTATGTACATAAGGGTGGTCCAAAATTAGTAAAGTCGGAATTTTAATGCTCTCACCCCCTACGATTGTTTTATATCGAAAAAATAGACCTCAATTTTTTATTCTGAAATCAAAAAACGTTTACAGGTCGCTCAAAGCGCTCAAAGTTTCCCGTGTATTTTATATAGGGAAAAAACATTTTTCGTAGAAATGATATGGAATTCTTGAAAATGAATATTTTTTGATCGGAAGACTCCGGTTCTCTTCAAGATACTTCCAATAACAATACCTTATTGATTATTTAACCATTTTTTAATACTAAAGATTTTTTATTTATCCCCCTTTGCGTTTTCTGGGTGTTATCTATGGTCCAATTTGCTTGAAATTTGGCACGTAGGAAGCATTTTTCCTAGATTAGCATATGTGTGATCCTATTTTCTCGTAAGTGAACCAGGACCGATCTATTCGAAAACATCTTCGTTATGGTACATATAGGGCTAGTTTTTCAGTGCGATTTTAACTCTTTTTGTCGTTTAAACTAAGTTCAAACTCAGTGTGCAGTTTTTCAGTCAAATTTAAACCTAGTTTAAACTAAGTTTATACGCCCAATCTGGCTGGGTTAAACCGAGTTTAAACTATCAGCTGTTAAGTTGTATATTTGTAGTCATAGTCGATAAGACCTTGAAACCTATGCTTAGATGGTTGATCCCGCGGTAGTTGGTGCGTCTGGCGGGATCGCCATTCTTGTGGATTGGGCAGAGCACACTTAAATTCCAGTCATCGGGCATCAACTCCTCGCCGCCGTACTTAAATAGCTCAGCTGGCAGGCCGTCAGTTCAAGCCGCTTTGTTGTTTTTCAGCCGCGTAATCACTATTCGTACCTCGTCATAGTCAGACGGTGGGACACCGACTCCATCGTCATCGGCTGGGGGCTCGGGTTCGGTTTCTCCACTACTTTCAGCACTGAAACCATTAAGTAGGGTGGACAAGTATTCCCTCCATAATTTAAGTGTGTTCTGGACATCAGTTCCTAAGTCGCCATTGTTGTTCTTACAGGAGTTCGCCCTGGTATTGAAACCTTCCGTAAGTCGCCTAACCCTCTACTTCTTCGGCGGCGGTATTTAACGAGCGGGAAATGTAGTTCCACTGCTCGCCTATGTCGCTTTGTTGAAGAGTGCTCTCAGATTGCAGGTGTCATAGTCGAGGGGCGAATAAATTGGCCATCTGTTGCGATTGCAACTTTTCAACACTAAGCTTTCCTTGCATTGTTGGCGCACATTGCTTGATGCACAGAGGCGGTGCGTATCTTGGCTGCAACAAGATAGTGGTCCGAGTCGATGTTTGGACCTCGGAGTGTACGTACATCTAAAACACTGCCTTGCGTGCCTTCCATCTATCACAACATGGTCGATTTGGTTTCTCGGTTTTTGATCTAGAGACATCCATGTAACGGGTGATTTTTTAAGAGCTTGATAACTTTTTTTTAAAAAAAAACGCATAAAATTTGCAAAATCTCATCGGTTCTTTATTTGAAACGTTAGATTGGTCCATGACATTTACTTTTTGAAGATAATTTCATTTAAATGTTGACCGCGGCTGCGTCTTAGGTGGTCCATTCGGAAAGTCCAATTTTGGGCAACTTTTTCGAGCATTTCGGCCGGAATAGCCCGAATTTCTTCGGAAATGTTGTCTTCCAAAGCTGGAATAGTTGCTGGCTTATTTCTGTAGACTTTAGACTTGACGTAGCCCCACAAAAAATAGTCTAAAGGCGTCAAATCGCATGATCTTGGTGGCCAACTTACCGGTCCATTTCTTGAGATGAATTGTTCTCCGAAGTTTTCCCTCAAAATGGCCATAGAATCGCGAGCTGTGCGGCATGTAGCGCCATCTTGTTGAAACCACATGTCAACCAAGTTCAGTTCTTCCATTTTTGGCAACAAAAAGTTTGTTAGCATCGAACGATAGCGATCGCCATTCACCGTAACGTTGCGTCCAACAGCATCTTTGAAAAAATACGGTCCAATGATTCCACCAGCGTACAAACCACACCAAACAGTGCATTTTTCGGGATGCATGGGCAGTTCTTGAACGGCTTCTGGTTGCTCTTCACTCCAAATGCGGCAATTTTGCTTATTTACGAAGCCATTCAACCAGAAATGAGCCTCATCGCTGAACAAAATTTGTCGATAAAAAAGCGGATTTTCTGCCAACTTTTCTAGGGCCCATTCACTGAAAATTCGACGTTGTGGCAGATCGTTCGGCTTCAGTTCTTGCACGAGCTGTATTTTATACGGTTTTACACCAAGATCTTTGCGTAAAATCTTCCATGTGGTCGAATAAGACAAACCCAATTGCTGCGAACGGCGACGAATCGACATTTCACGGTCTTCAGCAACACTCTCAGAAACAGACGCAATATTCTCTTCTGTACGCACTGTACGCATTCGTGTGGTTGGTTTAATGTCCAATAAAGTAAACTGAGTGCGAAACTTGGTCACAATCGCATTAATTGTTTGCTCACTTGGTCGATTATGTAGACCATAAATCGGACGTAAAGCGCGAAACACATTTCGAACCGAACACTGATTTTGGTAATAAAATTCAATGATTTGCAAGCGTTGCTCGTTAGTAAGTCTATTCATGATGAAATTTCAAAGCATACTGAGCATCTTTCTCTTTGACACCATTTGTCTTCCCGAGGACATCAACCAGTCGGCCCGAGGCACCTTCCGCATTAGAGGTCCGGACATTCCAGGTGCATACCCTCAAACCATTGTCCTTTAACCCGTCCGTGGTCGTCATCAGAAAAAGGGGGTCTCATCCGAGGCTGTTTGTTCGTTTTCATTGGACGGGGTTGTAACGTTGCGGGACCCAAACCCAGCACACGCGAAGTTTTACGCCTTCTCACTTTAGCTCGCTCTGGTCACTCCCAGGTGAACGGCAGTCAAAAGTTTTTCCCACTTACGTGAACTTCTGCGTACTATGTATTGCAAGAGAACCGCAGGGTGGCCCTGGAGTCGAGTTATTATTAAAAATCGTCAAGTGAAGTCATTCGGAGACACCAGGGATTAAAGTCAAATTACCACCGTTAAATCTACCACCATAACTATTGCGGTCCTTGCTTTACGGCGACTAAATAGAATAAAGACAATTATTGATGAATGCCTACAAATAACCACTAAAAAACTAAGAAGTTACACCTTGCTAAATTGCATATTATGTATATCATATTATCACATATTATAAATTACACATTGAAGCGATTTTAGTGGTTTAAAGCTATTTGAATATTTATAAACTTGTACATATATTGATAACCCATTTTGGGTAGCTTTTGTGATGTCGTTGCTTAGTGGCAATGTATAATTTTAGTTCACCACCCTTGTTTGTGTTGTCTGGAGCGTGTAACCTCACCTCCCAGCTGAGATTTGTGCATTGTACATAAGCATGTCAATAAGCATAATCAAATTTACTTTTTATTCTAGTGATAAGAAGCGCCTAGCCAAAATGATTCCCTTCTCCTTTATTTTGCTCACCGATATGTGGTACTTTCAAGAGACCAATTAACCGCTTGTCAGTTGGAAAGCTTGTATGTATGTATGTACGGGCAGCTGTGACATGCTTAATTATGTATTTTTGTTGTTACACGAGACTTGAGAAATCTTATCATTAATGTCAAATTGTCATTTAACCAGTTAGAAGCAGTTGCGATTAGGTTCACTAGCGAAACTGCCCTGATTGCCGAATATTTTATTAATCGCACGAGCAAAAAAAATTGGAAATAGATACCAAATTATTGCTATGAATGAGATTATATAGGTACTTGCTGATAAGCATAGGCAAATGTGAAATCCATACGTTGTGTGACATGCGACTTTATCTTACAGCATTTTGTTGCACGCTTCTATAATTTAAATTCCACTACTACTTTTTTTTAAACATATAAGTATTTATGTGTGTTTGTATATTATTATTCTCAACTATTTAAATGCAGATCAACAGAAGGAAAAATTAAAATTAATTCACTGTAGTTTATACTAAGCCGCCCCGGAAAGCCGTACGAACCGGAAGAAACTGCTAAGGGCCGCTTAGGTCCGATTCATTTAACAAGTGGTTTCACGTTATTTGTGTGAAAGATGCCGTTTGATGTAATTTATTTACAAGTTACTTTGTGCATACAAACGTACATAGGTATAGGTATGTATGTATGTACATTACATACTTAAATATGAGAATTTACTTCCAACAAAAGTGCAAATCAACTGACAGTTAATTAAAATCACTTTTATGAATATACATTAGGGTGGTCCAAAAATGCAGGTGAAAACTTAAGTCGAAATTTGTATGCTCTCACCCCCTAGGATTGTTCTATACCGAAAAAATATACCCCTTGTTTTTATTATGAAAACAAAAAATATTTAGAGGTCGCTCAAAGCGCCCAAAGTTTTCCATGTATTTTATATGGGGAAAAAACAACTTTTCGTAGAAATGGTATAGAATTCTTAAAAATCAATATTTTCCAACGTTCTTCTGTTTCTGTTTATCTGCAGAAGATTCCCAGTAATAATACCCAATTTTCTATTTAATCATTTTTTCATCGCAACTATAATTTATAGGTCCGCCAAAAACCCACAAAAACACCGAACAATGCAAA